TAGTATTATTAGTAGTAGTATTATTAGTAGTAGTATTATTATTAGTAGTATTAGTAGTAGTATTAGTAGTAGTATTAGTAGTATTATTAGTAGTAGTATTATTAGTAGTAGTATTATTATTAGTAGTATTAGTAGTAGTATTAGTAGTAGTAGTATTAGTAGTAGTAGTATTAGTAGTAGTATTAGTATTATTAGTAGTAGTATTATTATTAGTGGTATTAGTAGTATTATTAGTATTAGTAGTATTATTAGTATTAGTAGTATTATTAGTGGTAGTATTATTAGTGGTAGTAGTATTAGTGGTAGTATTAGTAGTAGTATTAGTGGTAGTATTAGTAGTAGTAGTATTAGTAGTAGTAGTATTAGTAGTGGTGGTAGTATTGGTGGTAGTATTATTAGTAGTATTAGTAGTAGTATTGGTAGTAGTATTAGTAGCAGTAGCGGTAGTATTGTTATTAGTATTATTAGTAGTATTAGTATTATTAGTATTAGTATTATTATTAGTAATATTAGTGTTATTATTAGTAGTAGTAATAGTATTAGTAGTATTAGTAGTAGCATTATCATTAGTATCATTAGTATTATTAGTAGTAGTATTAGTATTATTAGTGTTATTATTAGTAGTATCATTAGTATTAGTAGTAGTGTTAATATTATTAGCATTATTAATATTAATAGTATTCGTATTATTAGTAGTAATTGTAGTATTAGTAATAGTAGTAGTATTAATAGTATTATTAATATTATTGGTATTGTTATTAGTGTTATTAGTGTTATTAGTAGTAGTATCATTAGTATTATTAGTAGTGTTAATAGTATTAGTATTATTAATATTAATAGTATTCATATTATTACTAATAATTGTAGTATTAGTAATAGTAGTATTAGTAGTATTGTTATTAATATTATTAGTGTTATTATTAGTGTTATTAGTATTATTATGCAAAAGCCATAAATTGAAGCTTCTCGTGTTTATTATTTCCCACGGGGCTGAAAAGAGTTAGAAGTCAATGCTTTTTTTTTCCTTTTTCCCTTACACACACACACTCACTCTCTCTGTCTCTCTTTCTCTCTTTTCCCCTTTTTCCTTCCCTCCGTTTCTCCTCCTTTTCCTCCTTTTCTATTTTACACTCTGGATAAATGAATCACATGCAAAGGTTTGGCTTCCTTCATTCAATTTTATGGGCGTAATTGTTTCATGACCACTTGGGGTAAAAAATAAGCCGTGCGTTTCTTGACAACGGGACATTGTGTGTGTGTGTTTGTGTGTGTGTGTGTGTGTGTTGTGTGTGTTTTATCTGTCTGTATGTGTGTGTATGTTTCTGTCTAATGGGGGAGCACCACAAGAATAAACCTCTTCCATGAGGACTAGAGCCTTAGTAACCCTTCAAGAGCAAGGGAAGAGCTGAGGAACACAACGGGACAGTGTACATGTGTATGTTTTGTGTGGGGGGTTATATGCGTGTTGTGTGCTTCTGTTGGGGGAGCACCAGAAGAATAAACCCATGAGGACTAGAGCCTTAGTAAACCTTCAGAACAAGGGAAGAGCTGATTAAGACAGTGGGACATTGTGTGTGTGTGTGTGTGTGTGTGTGTGTGTGTGTGTGTGTATTATGTGTGTGTATTGTATGTGTGTGTCTGTGTTGGGGGGAGAGCACCACAAGAATAAACCAATTCCATGAGGACTAGAGCCTTAGTAAGCCTTCAGAGCAAGGGAAGAGTAGAATAAGATAACAGGACATTGTGTGTGTGTATTATGTTTGTGTATTGTGTGTGTATTGTGTGTGTGTCTGTGTGTTGGGGGAGCACCACAAGAATAAACCAATTCCATGAGGACTAGAGCCTTAGTAAGCCTTCAGAGCAAGGGAAGAGCAGAGTAAGATAACAGGATATTTTGTGTGTGTATTATGTTTGTGTATTTTGTGTGTGTTGGGGGAGCACCACAAGAATAAACCTCTTCCATGAGGACTAGAGCCTTAGTAAGCCTTCAGAGCAAGGGAAAAGCAGAGTAAAATAACGGGACATTTTTTGTGTGTGTGTTGTGTGTTGTGTGTGTGAGGGAGGAGAATAAACCTCCCTCAGAGCAACCTACCCTGCAGGGCTGTGAGGAGGACAAGAGTGGGGGGGGGAGGGGAGCCTTTGTCCTGAGAGGCTCCGTCTCAAAATGGCGCCCAAAAAAGAGGGGGAGGCAGCGGAATGTATGCCCTCCCCAAGATGGCTCCCTCCCTCAGCTCCCCCCCCCAATTCGACCTCCCCAAGATGGCCCCTCTCTTCACCCCGCCCACCCCCCGGACTTCCGCCCGCGCGAGGAAACCCCGCAGCGGATATAGCGCTCCCTCCTTCCGGCCGGCCTCCTTTTCGTCCGCAGCTGCCTCCACGCGAACATGCCGGTGCGTCTCTCTCAAGGCCGCCGCCTCCCGCCGCAGCCCTCCCGCCCTCCTCCCCTGGCGCTGGGGGGGCCCTCGGGGGGGGGGTCGCATGCGGGGCCTCTCCCTCCCGGGGACCCCGCTGGCTCCGGCCATGCCGCGCAGGCGGCTCAAGATGGCGTCGGGGAAGGCGGTTGGCGTGGGGGGGGGAGGGGGGAATGGCGGTGGGGGGGTCTCTCATCCCTCTATTATTATGTATTTATTATTTATTGTTATTATTATAATTTTCTCTCTCAGCTCGCGAAGGACCTCCTGCATCCCTCCCCCGAGGAGGAGAAGCGGAAGCACAAGAAGAAGCGCCTGGTGCAGAGCCCCAACTCCTACTTCATGGACGTCAAGTGCCCGGGTGAGACACGGGGTGTGGGCGTGGGGGGGTGGGGGGAGAAGGGTCCCTCCGAGGTCATCCAGCCTGGGCCACCCCGCTCGGCACCACAGAATAACGCGAGTTGGAAGAGGGGACCTCCGAGGTCATCCAGCCGAGCCTCCCTCTCCACCCCCCCTTGCGCCTCTCAGAAGACAGAATAACAAGAGTTGGAAGAGGGGACCTCCGAGGTCATCCAGCTGAGCCTCCCTCCCCCCCTCAGAAGACAGAATAACAAGAGTTGGAAGGGGACCTCCGAGCTCATCCAGCCGAGCCTCTCAGAAGACAGAATAACAAGAGTTAGAAGGGGACCTCAGAGCTCATCCAGCTGAGCCTCCCTCCCCCCTCCTCAGAAGACAGAATAACAAGAGTTGGAAGGGGACCTCCGAG